TTATTTTTATTTTATTTTATTTAAATTATTGAAAAAAATAAAATATGGACGAAATTAGAAATAATTCTAGAGAAAATGAGTGAAATTATGAATAAGGGGGTGTTTTTAAAAAACAAATTGAAAACAATAGGTGAAATCGCAAAAAGAAAAAATAGGACCACGTGGGACAGCCATGTCAGCAGCCATTGCAAATCAAAAAAGCCACTTGACAGAGATGCCAATCTCGGAGGCCACATGGGCGATCCGTGTGCCTAGGCGATTCGACGGTCCAAATCGCATTCCGTGTGCACGAAAGGCCCAGATGCATTTCTTTTTTAGACGTGATCAGACGGTCCGACTTAGATAGAATAGAGGTATTTAAACCTCTCTTCAGTCGACCCCAAACCTTAGCCGACACCCAACTAAAGAAGAAGAAGAAGGAGGCTGCCAAAGGGAAGACCAATTGCCAGAAGGACATCGCTGCTGCTGCATCGGAGCCACCGCCGACCTCCAAGAATGGTAAAAATTTTTCCATCCCACTCAGAATTCAATCTCGAGCCTCTCTGTGGCCATATCAGAGCAAAAGAGGCAACAGATGAGCCAAAAACTGTGGGCAAAGTTCAGTCGAGCCGCCGCAGCCAAAACCCAAAACCCTCTCTGATGACCCCCTTTCTATTTCCCATTTTATGTGATTTTTTTACCACCGTATTCACCATCTTTTTCTGGTGCAAATTAATCGAATAAGAACCCCAGCCATGAAGGAGAACCGGTGGAGTCGCCGGACCTGAAGACCCCCTTGCCATAGGTTTTAGTTTTTGCCTTTTTCGGTCAACTAAGGCTTTTTAACCTATTTTTTTTGCAAGTTTACGCGTAAAACCGACCAAAATCAACTTAAACTAGTGGAAACTGGACAGGCCAAAATGAACTGCAGCTGTGGGCGGCGGAGCCAGCACTTAAGCACGGTAGTGCCGCCGTGCCGGAACCCTAAAATTTGTCAGAATGATGTTTAAAATGTCAATTCTGGCCGTTCGGGGTATTTTTGGATACTTGACAGATGTTTTAATTTCCATAGAAAAAATTCAAGAAACATAAGGAGAGCTAGAAAGTGCAGTATACAGTATAGTATTTCGAATACTGATCTGGGGTAAAAATCCCTCACCCTATTCCTTGTTACATAAATTGAAAATTAATAATCAATAATACTGTGTTTATGAAAATTAAAAAATTCTAAAAATAATTACAGTCACTAATAGAGTCAGAACCGGTCAATTAATCTTTACTCTGTTTACTGTTTATTTTACTTATACTGCTTAAAATATTTACTATTATATTGTGTGAATTGAATTGATAGACTTAAAGGCTCTCTCGGTTATTTGGTTTACCTCACTACATACCCCCCATTTGTTGGTTTATTTTGCAATAAATATTTCAATTATGTTTCTTTATGTACGTATCACCTATTTGCATAATTTACTATTGATCTGTAAATATAAGTTATTGGTATATAAGTGATAATTAGTTTATGCTTTAAATCTATGTGAGAGGATTATTGGGTACCCTGGAAAAAGGTGAATGGATCTGATATATAGGAAAACTTACTGTGGACATTGCTTCAATCGGATGGGGTTGAGAAGTCTCATACCGAAAAGGTTTGGAAAATCTAGTTCACCTCCATACTGGACGGGGTATCAAGGTGATAGTGTGTTTGGCACCCATTACTGGATAGGGTATGGGGACGGGCAGGTTACTTGACAAATCTGGATATTGGATTCACGAATAAGAGAATATCTCTATGAACCCCTATAGGTTCCAATAAGTATGTAAAAAGAAAAAATTACCATTCTTGCTAGCTTGTAAATAAAATCATAATGTTATCTGAGTAATTGTATTTATAGGTTGATTTTGGAAAACTCGTAACGGTAAGTATGAAATAAACATTTTTTTTCATGTTAAATGAATTTACTTAAATTAAGGACTCCATTAGTTATTTTATGATTTTTACTAACATTTAGTTTCTATATCAGTTATTAGTGTGATATTCTTACTAGTTAGTATAGCTCACCCTTCTATTAACCATTTTAGATAAAAAAAGATTAGGATCCAGATCCTGATCAGTAAAAGAGTTGTGAATAGATTACCTCCCGGACCTCATCAAATACTAGTGGAGATTAACTTCTTAGAACATTTATTTACTTGTTTTTAATCACTTACTCATTTTTTTTTTACAAACTGCTGTAGAAAAGACATTCTCGTAATCCTATTAGGTATTCTAATTTACTGTATAAGTAATGTAAATGCTAAAATTGTTGTTTACTTCTGCATTTAAAGTATGTATTTACAAATTCTATATTTTCATTAAAGCATTCATGGTAAGAAAAATGTCGAAAATTTTGAAAAAAAAAAAATGTTGAAATTAGAAATGAAGTGGATAATTTTTTTGATTTATAAGATAATTAAATAAAACAATAATATAATTATTTACTGCAATAACATATCTACGAAGTTCATGAAAATAAAAAATTATATTTTTTACTGTAAGTAATTATATGCTTATTTATTGTAATAATATATCTGTCACAATCATAATAAAAAAATAATCATATTTTTACACTATGTTGAACAATGAAAAGAAATTTAATTTCAATTTCAGAACAAAAATAACAAAAGAAATTGAAATATTTGAGAAAATAATGTACAAATTCGATATGAAGAGTAGTGTTATTAAAAACAATTTGTAATTTAAAAATAAAAAAAGCCAACACTTTAACTGTTACGTAAACCTATTGTGGTAAAGATTTTCTCATGAAGAAAGATGGAGCAGGGTCTGGAAAAAAATTGTGCCTGGTGTTGGAGTATATATATGTATATATGTATGTATATATATATATATATATATGTTTATGCGTAAGTGTTCTAGTTTATTTTTGTTTTCATGTACCCCAATTAAATCCAACTTAATAATTTTAATTGAAAATGAGGATTTTTTAGTTTACAAAATTCATATAATGCTTACCCTTGATCCATTAACAAAAGTATACCTGCATGTTCTTTAAGAAAAATATATTGATTAATTCTTTTGTACTTTAATTAGTATACCTAGACCAGAATTTTGTTACTTAGAGATTTTAACTTTAAATTTTATTGTTGGTTGATCTTAAATATCGAAAATGATCCGTTGGTTTTAATTCCTATTTTTTAACTTTTTTTTTATTAAAAAATATCTATATTTAGAGCATTTAAATTTATATATAAATCCCAAAAAGCAAAATAAAAACTCACTCCTCTCATATATAGAATAATAAAAATAATCATGGCGAAGATCTCCATCTTGTTTGGTTTGATTACTTTGTTTGCTATAGGATTTGCAGTAACTGCCCACCGAATTACACCAGAAGAGCATTCAAGTAAGGAAGATATTAAGTTATTCACCATTCAAATAAATAAGAAAGTACAATAGATGGATGAGCAAGACCTCCAAAGTGTCATGATTCTTATGAGAATGGTGAGAAGGGCACTCGCGGTTAAGATATCTTTCAAGAAGAAAAAGGAAGCTATACCACAAGGGGAACTTCGAAAGAGACTACATATTGAACTTGTTCGTGAGTTTCAGAAACATGGTAGAGAATATCCAGTTAATTTGAAAAATGCATCAGCTAGAGAGAAGAGAGCTGTAAAAGAATTTGAAGCATGATGGAATTTGATCGGGAACGCTTCCATTGAAGATCTCAAAACTATATAATATATGTCACTGAATCTGCTGTGGCTAAAAGAAAAGTTATGATTAAGATAGAAAAGTCTATATCATTCACGAAAAAGATAATCCCACTAAGAGGACGGGGTGCTACTTTCATTTCTAAATTTGAGATAAAATCTAACCACTAGAATGTTTCAAAAGATGATAACAGTTTTATCCCATCCTCAGATAACTTTAAGTTAAATTTAAAATACATTGCTGATGTTGAATTGAAATTGAAAAAACCACCAGAAGCTCTGAACTTACTCGTCTTTGATATCAAGCTCCATGTATGAATTGTACTGCAAACCTATGCAATCGATATATGCTGTAATAGGTTGACGAGAAGGATGGAGCCGTGAGTTTTAATTATTATTCATGAGGGGAGTTTAATTTCATTTGTTAACTTATTGAATCATTATGTAAAAATCTCTCTATATATTATTATCAAAAAAATCATTCTCTGAGAAAATTTATTAATTTCATCTTATATAACACACATAAATATATATATAGGATGGAGTAGGTCTTACAACACTAAGTGACATCATTAATAAAATAATGATTATTTTTAATATTAATTTAATTATTTTTCTTTAATTTATATGCTTCGTTTAGTCAATATAATTCAACGAATATTATTAATTACTTTTAAATTTAGCTTTTAGTATTTTATTTATTATGCATTTAGTTGATATGGTTCAATGAATATTAATATATTGATAGCATATAATTTAATTTAATTATTTATATGTAGCAGTTTTGGAATTAATATATAATTAAAATAATGAAATATATAAATAAAAATATCATGTACGGTGTATATTAGCAATCATAAATTTGAGTATATGTTTTATTAAAAAATAAATCAAAATAGGATATAGATTAAAATACTAGAAGTTAAATAATAACTAGTAAACGTGTGATAATTTAAAAAATAATGTATAATGTATATATTAATTACATGTTATTTTAAAAATACAATTTTTGACGATTTTCCTGATTTTTTTTTTTTTAATATACTTCAAAATTCCAATAATAAAATTGAAAGTAATATATGATTACATTAGTTATATATTTCAATAGGCTAAAAAAGAAAAATAAGATATTCATTGAATATATGGAGTGAGTGAGAATTTAGTATATTTCTTTCATTTTCATTGAATTATTTAGAATAGATGATGGTGGAGTAAATATATTTTACATGGTAAACTTATAAATTTACTTCCACTTTTCTCCCACCACACACACAACATTTTTGCAGCCCAGAAGCTACATTTCTTCTTCTCATTTCTCCCCAGCAGGCCCGCCCATCTGTAAACAGATGGCCCTTATCTGGTTCAGAATCGAAAGCAGTACCCATCTTTTAGACAAGTACACACGGAAAGGATGACTCTATCACTGTCTTCTTCTTCTCTAGCCCCGATCCCCAGACAGCTGAATCGCTTTCCTCGGAGAACAGGTTTCATTTCTAGTCTCCAGGTTTTTTCTTTTTGCGTACATAATATATGTATGTTCATGCTTATATGACCATGAAATGCTTAATTTTCATGTTAACATGTAGCTCGATGTAATTACCTATGACCCACATGAAATTCAATTGATTGAATTCCAAGTTATTTAACCTGGAATAACTATTTCATTTGTTAGCCAATTAATGTTGTTTTATATTATTTATAATGTAGGTAGATGGAATACATGCAGATTGGTTTCTGGGGACATTGATTTGGTTATTACTAAGAGCAGCTTAAAAAACAAAGAATTAAAGAGGAGTTCTTGCTTGGCAATGGTTTCTTGTTCGAGTTCTTCCGAAACATATGAAGAATCTAAGAAGGTATGGATATGGACAGAGAGCAAGGAAGTCATGACTGCTGCAGTGGAGAGAGGGTGGAACACATTCATATTCTCCTCACAGAATCAAGAACTTGCCAATGAGTGGTCATGTAAAGCTAAATTAACCATTTTTTTTGGGGGATTTTTAACCGTTAAGCATACAAAGATATCTATCCCATCTTTGGTTTTGTGAAAATTCTGATGTTATTATGTAAGATTGATGCTTTTCTTCTTTTTTTTTTTTTTTAATTTTCTGAAATTCTCTGTTATAGATATTCATGTTTCTGATTTTCGAATATTGTGACTGAACATGCAGCAATTGCGTTGGTAAATTGTCTATTTATTAAAGATGGAGAGGTTCTTGATATTGCAAACAAAAGGGTGGCCACAGTTTTTGAGGTTTCAGCTCCTGAAGAGTTGCATAGGTTGCAACCAGAGAATGTGCCCACAGCAAATATTGTTATTAATCTATTAGATTGGCAGGTATGCTGGTTGCTGACTACCTCATAGATTTAATGTCCTAGATTGTCCATTTTTATGCTTTTATTCTGTGATCTTCGTTGCTGCTTATTGGCTGTTTATGGATTTACTGGATTTTAGTTTCATACTTAAATTTCACAGTACAGGTATTTTCTTTCTGGCTTTACCGGGTCTCTTAACTTGAGTTGAATATCAATTTTAGTTACTTCCTATGATAAATGGGTAGGTCTTGAAATGCGTTTGTTCTTCTTAAGAAGACTGTGAAGTTGTTCAACCCACTATATTTTTGCTTTTTGCAAAACTGAGAAGATGGCTAAATACTTTTTAGGTGGACTTTGTATTGTATGCCACCATCTTCTGTGATGAAAATTTTCTTTTGCCTTTATTTGTGTTTGAAGGATACAAAACATTTCTGTTTCCTATAGTACGAAACATAATATGATATTAGTTTTCAGTATCTTTAGCTGGGGGAGCCGATTTGAGTTGTCTTATGTTTCGTAATTTGTTGCTTTCCAGTTTCCTTGCTTTTATCAAGCTCTCCCTTTTATGAAGCAAAATATTATGTTGTTTTCCCAAAAGAAGATCAGTCTATTCGTATGTATATGTTATAGTTTACTACCATCTAGTCATATCTGGCATTATGTTTATTAGGTGATACCTGCAGAAAATATTGTCGCAACATTCCATGGCAGCCAAAAGACGGTGCTTGCCGTCTCACAAACTCTTTCTGAGGCACAAATATTTCTTGAGGTATTTCATAAATATATTACAGTGAAGACCAGAAGTGAGAGAAAGTTTAGCAGTTTGAAGCATCTTCCTTTTATATTGGTAACTTATATGGTTATTACTGTCAATAAATACTCTTTTGTGTCTGCAGGCCCTGGAGCAAGGCCTAGGCGGAATTGTTTTAAAAGTTGAGGATATGACAACTGTTCTTGGCTTAAAGGTAGTTTTTTTTGGTTAAGGACTTCTTTATTACCTTGTATTTATTTTGAAATTATTAGGACTATTTTGACAGAAGGAATGAAGAAAGTAATACAATGACCTTAAACAAAGCTGTTGTAACGCGAGTCGAAATTGCCAGCATGGGTGATCGAGTTTGTGTGGATCTCTGTAGCCTTTTGAGACCCGGTGAAGGACTTCTTGTATGCTTCTACTATCTTTTCAGATATGATTTTTGTTAATATTCTGATCATCTGGGTGAAGTTAATCTGAGATGGCAAGTTTGTTTTCTCAGGTGGGATCCTTTGCTAGAGGACTTTTCCTTGTTCACTCAGAATGCTTGGAGTCAAATTATATTGCCAGCAGGCCATTCCGAGTCAATGCTGTGAGTTTCACTTCATCCTTCATGGATTGAATTATTTTCTGGATGTGTAAAAGCAAACTTCTAACTTAATTTTTAAAAGTATAAATTACATGAAGATATTTGATGTTTGGATATAATTACAAATTAATCCGTGATTTTTCTTGAAAAAAAAATAACAAGAAATTACTTGCATGCTCCATCAGAAACATCTGATAAAATTGGAACGATATAGAGAAAATTAATATAATCCCTGTACAAGGATGACACGCACCCAACAAATTACTTGCATAACATATATATATATATACAAAAAGATCTTTTATTCCACATTAGTTAAGAGTTATGAAAATCTTTTACTTATAAAAGAAAGGTCCTCCCTCTCAAGTAGGTCTTAAACTTTTTGGAGCATAAATTTCCTAGAGGACAATGTCTCACTTAGGCTCAAGGGAACTATGTCGCTAATCACATCATTGGTCCCATTTATGGAAAACTGGTAGCTATTGGTCCAACCATGAACCCTCAGCTTGGGGCCTATATTAGCCAAATAGATTCTCTCAACTGGAGGACAAGTTTGGTGTAGAGAAACTTTCTCATCTACATGAGTTAGAATTGAGAAAATTTTTTATTTATGAACTTCCAAGTGAAGTGCATTTTGTAAAAGAAAATCATGATGTAACAATATGTTGTATTGACTTGCCAAAATTCAGGTCACTTCATATAATGTAATGTCTCAAGTGTTGATCACTTGATTGTGAAATAATAGAAAACAACACAAGAAGCCATTGTGTTTGAAAAACACAAAAAATAAGAATTTTAGTTTGTATGTTGAAAAAGAAATGATAGTTACTGTAAGAAGAATTAGATGTGCGCCCAGAGACATACTGTGTAATTAGAGGCATCCTGTGTAATTAATGATAAGGTGGTATTTGTTTATAGAATGGCTACGTAATTCGTAATTTACATGTTTTTATTTCAAAAAGAAAAAATAGAATGGCTACATAATTGTTTTTTGAAAAATATTAGACCTAGCACTCCAAGTATGAATCACTCTATGTAATTTACTCTTATTTTAAATATAAATGTCAAATCAAATACATCAATTATGGCATTCCTCATATTATCTTTAACATTGTTTAGTGTGTTTTTTGTGACACCTAAACCCCTTGTTTGCTTATTCCTTTGAAATCTACAGGGGCCTGTACACGCCTATGTTGCTGTTCCAGGAGGTAAGACTTGCTACCTTTCAGAGCTAAAAGCGGGAAAAGAGGTGGTTGTGGTGGATCAGAAGGGTCATCAGCGAGTAGCAATAGTTGGCCGTGTAAAGATAGAGACTAGACCTCTTATCCTTGTGGAAGCCAAGGTCAGTGTTTTCCATACTAATGCAAAACAAGGAAACATATTCTTATTTAGATAGTAGTTATATATATATATATATATATATATGCATATGCATATATATATGCATATGAATGGGAAATAAGTCAAAGATTGGGGCTATTGCCTATCCAGTGCCAAAAGTTCAAGGAATTTCCTGAGACTATAGAACAGACATGTCTTGGAAGATGTAGATTACCCACACTTTCACGAATGAAAAAGTATTTACCTGAGAACATGTCAAACTAGAAGATGCTAACTTAAAAAGAGCCAAAACCTATAAAACTCTCCATTTAACCAACTTGCTGCAAGATAACTTCATCCCAAAATGGAACAAATGGAAAATGGTTGATAACATCTGAATATGCTGAAGTCCAGTATAACCTCATCCCATACAGTAGATATTTCTGAGGACGAGTTAACTGGTCCCCTGGGAAGAGAGGAGCAGAATCTGAAACATTCAAAACAAAGCTTGCTGGAGAAAAGAATATTGCACCCAGTGAGGTTGAACAAGAGGGTATTGGCACTTTAACCGTTCGTAGTTTGTTTGCCAGAACAATAGTAGTCGTCTGCCCTAGTTTCTTTTTTTCTTTTGTGAACATTCTCCTCTGTTTTACCAGATGCCAAAGTGAAGCTCATCTCTACCTCTTCCTAGATTTGCTTAGAGGCACCAAGATTTTATTTCTTCTTTAAAAACTAACTAAAAAACAGTTGTTGATAATGGACCTTTGTTGTTGATATCGAATTATTGAATTTTTTCAGACTGACGCAGATGATCAAACTCATTTCAGTATCTTTCTACAGAATGCTGAAACAGTTGCTTTAGTCTCACCCCATCAAGGTGATAGGTTCTGTTTTAATTAATATTGT